TGTGTGTGTGTGTGATTCTGTGTGTGTGTGTGTGTGTGTGTGTGTGTGTGTGTGTGTGTGTTGCTGGGTTTTGAAACAGAGGTGATCACTGAGCTCCCTCTTGGGTGGGGTTTGATTGTATCGTGTGCTAAATAAGAAAGACTTTTAAAGTTTTTGTCATGAGAGAATTTTTGGTGTTCAAAAAGGTGAGAAATGTGTAAGAAGAGCTGGAGGCTGACAAATCCAGGAGACAAACCACACAAACGTTCAGTGCATGAAAAACCACATCCTGGCCTTTGTTTTCCTCCCCAGGACAGGCTGAGGGGGGTTGTGGTCCTCACAGGGTTAACCCTGATCATCTGGTTTTACTGCCACGCTAACTCTGACCCCCTCTGTTTGAATTCTCTCACTGCCCTAACCTGAGAGGGGCATCGGGGGTCTGGTGGCGCCTTCAGCTGGCTGTGATCCCCGGGTTCGGATGGTGTGGTTGGTCAGGTCGGTAGCACAGGCCCCGCAGGTGAAAGGGAAACGGACGAGCAGCTGTTAGAAGGAAAAGGTCAACGAGGCTGTAAGAAAAACACCAGCGAAGAAGAAGTGCCTGGCGTTTGAAGCAGACGTAACAGAAGCTGACAGCTGTGCCGGGTCTGAATGTGTCGCAGTGGGTTCAGTGATTTCTGACTGGATGAGCTGAGGTGCTTTAAATGGAGGCTTTTTCTGAAAACACCTGCTGTGTCCGTGTTTGCTGAAGGGATGAGAGGCGAGGGGCAGCCAGCGGACGTGCAGAGATTTAATGAGGAGGGTTTTTGGATTGTGAGGATGGAGTTGAGCTCAGATCAGTGTGAGCTGATGAGAGAGGGAGGGCTTGGTCTGCCTGTTGTACAAACCACTGTCTCCATCGAGCGCTGCTCAGGCGATCTGCCTGTATTTCCAGGTGTTTCACTTTAAGCCCGCCTCTCTGTATCTGCTCGTGTTGTGTTTGAGGTCTTCAGGACCATCGACGTTCCGTCTTAAAGACGTTGTAAATCCACTTCACCCTGCTGTGTGTGTCACTGTGTTACTGCTGCTATAATCTGTGTGGCTGTATGTGATTCAGCTCCCAGCAACACTGAGCTGCATGAATTCATCCAAACTTCAGCTTGTAGTTTAAATGCTTAAAGACTTTTTTACTCCTGAAAGTCTGAGCCAAGGATTGTCCTGCTGATCCGCCTGCATCTCCCTGCCCTTCACACCGATTGGTCTGTGTATGTGTGATGTATATATATATTTATTTATTTGTGTGTGTGTGTGTGTGTGTGTGTGTACACACTTGTGAATAGATAAGGAAATCTTCACAGTAATGTGACTGTTGACATGTGTTTGGGGAAGGCAAATGGGATATTGCACATGAGTTAGCTGATGCTAAAGAGTTAGCATAAATGTTAACCTTGCTGATGCACACGATGATCTTAGCTGATAGCCACAAACCCATTCTCGGGGCACTAAGCTAGTGTGCTCCTAGTGCCACATAAACCCGTATAATTGGAGGGTTGTGTGAGGAAGAGCAGCAAATGAGACGAGAGGCCGTCTTTCTTCTTGAGCTGGTCTGTCCTGGAGGTCAGCTGAGTTACGAGGTGAAGCACCGTTAGTTGTGTTTGTTGTGTAGCGCTAACCTGTTTTAAGCCGTTTACTCGTCAACTCTGAATCCTTTTCTGTAATCTGGGTCATTTGATCTTCTTGACTTTTCTGTTTGAGCCAAACCAAAGTTGCAGGTTTGAAACCTGCCCTGCGGTCCAGATCAAACAGCTGATCTGATGATGTGTTTATGACATCTATTGTCTCTTTTAGCTAAATTTCCTTGTGAGCAGGTTGACGGTTCGGTCACGCTGGACAGCACAACTAGGAACAACTGGCGGTCGGTTGATGGTCATTTTTTCTGCTGGCAACCAACTGCAAGTAGTTACAGCAACTAACTGTTCACCCAGACGTTGTGAGAGATTCAGCCTCCGGGTGAATGCTTTCAGTCACACGGTGACTGCACAGGTCACCTGACGGGAGGCAACCTGTCTCCAAACAGTCGCGGTCTGACTCAGGCTGACTGCAGCCACTCTTGCAAATAACCACAGTCTGATTATTGAATGCAGACATGTATCCCGAGTGACTGTGAGTGGTCACACGCCTGGTCTTCAAAGCAACCATTCTAATTGTGGCTGAGCTGTGCTCTCCAGCCATTAGCGTTAGCAATGCTGGTGCAAGGAGGGAGAAGCCTCGGCGCCATGATGGCGAACAACAAATCAGGTTCAAAGTTTTGTGCCCAGACTCGGCAGCTCGCACTCAGGTGGGCTGGAGGGATTTGGTGAAAGTGGACTGTTTAACGTTGCACCTCAGGAACATCTGTTAGGTGTCTGTCGGTCTGGATCTGGAAAGGTCATCATCAGCTCGTGGCGCTGTCTTTAAAGCATGACCTCACCTCAAGCTTTTAAAACACACAAGCGTCCTGTGAGTTTATGGTTATTGTAAACGGCGGTCGATGATGTGGTTCCAGATGGGCTGGTGATACTTGAATGTGTGAAGGTGGCCTTGTTTGGTTTTTAGTGAAATGGCGTCTGGCGTCCTGTCAAAGCTGGTTGGTCACCCATCCGCTGTTGGAGCACGACACCGTGCTGTTTGTGGTCAATAACATGAAGTATCGTGTACGTATACACCAGCAAGAGAGTGCAGATTCATATTAAGCCTTATATGATGAATAGTAAGCTGTTATAATAACCGTGCAGCTCCACGAGCCGTGGACAGACGGCTTGTAGCACGCTGATGTAACGCTGCTTTGTTGGATTTGTGAAGCTTTGAGCCTTTTTTCAAACGTCGTTCAGTCTTTAAGGTGCTTTAAGGACATGAACGCCAACGTGCTGTTCATGTCACACTCCATCACGCCGTCTCCACCAAGCTCTCACTTCTGTTGATAATATCGATCACAGAGTCTGCTACCGCAGTGAAACTGGGCCCGCTGATAATGTTTTGGCGTGCGTTGGACGTGTTAGCGTTTCTTTGTGAGGCACAGTTTCACAGCTTAGTAACTTCTGTAAGCTTTGGCTCTCAGGCCGGCCAAACCTCCACCAGTTGAAAACAGATTTTGAAAAGAACTTAATGGGCCCGAGCTCAGGATGTTTTTAATAACAGACACTGAAAAGCTGATTCTCAGTGGGAGCACAAAGTGTTTCTTCTATCTCAGACATTTCACAGCACACAGCATGAAAAATGTTTTTTTGGGAGATGCTACAAAACTGGCTCGACTTCAAGTTTGGAGTCATATGAAGATAAACAGAAATGCTTTTTATTTTTTCAGTTAAATGTTGCTCAAGGAAAATATTTGGTGAGCAGTTTAAGAGGAATCAAATGAATTTAAACCATTGACGTCTCTGTTGTCAGGGACGCATTTCTGCAGGTTTAGCTGAAGGTAAATGAGTCAGACGGAGGAGGGACGGTCTGACCCCCTCTGTTCGAATTATCGAGAGGGTAATTATTTTGCCTGTGATGGAAAAGTCATCTGTTCCACAGCTGTTTCCACTTCATTAAATCCCTGATGTTCCTAAATGGCCTAGTTGGCACCAGAGTCACATCACAGACACATTAAGGCCTCGCTCCCTGGACTGCTGCCCCCCTGTGGTGGCTCGGAGGTCACAGCAGAGCCAGAAACTTTTACAGAACATGTAGGGCAGTGTGTTCTCATTAACATATTTATACAAACACATCAGCAGAGAGAAGACGGAGGTTCAGGGTTAAACTCTCCTCGCTAAAGTTCATGTTTGGGGCTCTCTGATGGGCGGAGACAAACGCCATCACGTGACAAGAACAAGACGTTAAACCGAACCTGAGCGGAGTTGATCCGCCCACAGCAGGAGGTCAGTCGTGATCTGTTCAGAGAGACGCCTGTGATTACTATTTCCACGCCCCTGTGTATTCAGCGCTGGTGCCAAATGCAGTCATGTCATTGGTCAGGTCTTTGCATGTATTCACGTGTGAATAAGGCTACATCCACACGTACATGGGTATTTTTGAAATCGCAGCTTCTTCTATGCGTTTGGGTCTTTCGTCCACATGTAAACGCCGTTTTGGATCACTGAAAACAGAGATGTTTAAAAACTCAGTTTTTGTGTTTACGTGCAGACGAGGAAAACTGAGATCTAGTCGCTCAACGTCAAAGGTGTGCGCCACGTCATTGTTTACATGAGATGATTTCTACGATGGCAGATAGAGA